GTATAAGGAGAGTTATTATGGGTCTGTGGAGGTTGGAGGGCAGAAAATATATACTTTTATTTATTTTTTTATTTTAATTATTAAAAAGTTCTTTCATTTTAATGAAAACATAATTAATATTTTAATATCCCCTCCCTTCTAACCTTTGCCTGGGAGGGGGACATTTCCTGCAGTCCCTGATGGTCCCAGTGGTGAGAGTGAACTCTAGCAGCCACAGGAGCTGCTAGAGTTCACTCTCGCGAGATTCAGAGCATTGCTGTGGTAACCACGGCAACGCTCCGAGCTCGCGAGAGGAGAACCCGACGGAGCTGCATGTTACAGCTCCCCAGGGTCCTCTCTCCCTCCCCTGCCGGCTGCAGCATTACACTGCTAGTCAGCCGGATAGGGAGATCTCTGATCTCCCCTCCGATCCTACAGAGCTGTCAGGGGAGAGGGAGGCATATTTCCCAGTGCTATGATCATAGCACCGGGAAAATATATTGTGGCTCCCCTTTGTGCCCGTCGCGGCGCCCCAGGCGCACACAGTTTGGGAACCGCTGTTATATCAGATGTATGAAAACAACAATCTTTATTTAATGTCAAGAAAATAAAACTTTAATTAAATCTATATACACCAATAATGTACAAATCATAGTAGAGAATACATAAACGTAATTCATCAACATACATAGAAACAACTTTAGTAATGCAGGCATTTTATATAGATTACATATAAATGAAATAATTGAGAAAAAGCAAAAAAATAAATAAAATAAACACAAAAACTGCTGTACTAAAAACACTTTATCTAGTTTCTGTGACCGAGGGACACCACAACCATCCAGCGTTTTCGGCTCCACCGGCCTCTGTCAAGGTTAAATTAAAGTAGATTAAACAAGAATTTTATTTTCTTGAGATTAAAGATTATTTTTATACATCTGATATAAGATTTGCGGTTGATTTTTGTTGTTGAACATTCTAAATTTTAATATTTTACAAAAAATTTTTTAAAAATTTTTCAAAAAATATTAAATCATTTGGAAAGCTTACCCCAAAAATGTGTTTTGGCCTATATATGCACTAAAGTCATTAAGGTGAGATTATAAGTAGGTTTATTTGTACAGTCTTAACCCTCCAAATGCTAGAGGAGATTACACTAATTGGCATGCAGCCATTTTCTAAGCAGCTTGGCACTCAGTGGGTTAAAGACTAATTGCAAGACATTATACTTTGTACAGGTGACTGGAAGCCTTCTTGTGTTTATAATCTATTGGCTGAATAAAATCTTCTCCTTCTTTGCATTACAATATCTGTCTCTGCATGAAAGCGATTTGTGGAAGACTGTTTTCATCATCCAAACACAGACAGAAAGAAAAAGAAAAAAAACCAACCCAAAACAAAACACTGCAGTCTCTGACACACGTCAATCTATGTCTGCTGCTCATAACGTTTAAAATTGGAAGATTCAGAGGCCAATGAACGCGGTTTAGCTATGAGTAAACATGCCTAATTGTATAAATTATAAAATGATGTGATAAATTAGCTAAATCAAAAACAGATGGAAAAAGAAATACAGGAATTAAAACAAATGTCTTAAACATTGTACAATTAAAGGGACAAATTAAACACTACAATATTGTTTTATATTTATTCATTTATTACACACACACACACACAGAATTATCTATACTGCAGGGCTGATAAAAAAAAAAATTGAATCTAGGAGCCAGCTAAAAAAGTTAGGAGCCAGGTTTTTAAAAAGAACTAAAATACTAGCTTAATGTTGTGGTTGTGGTGTCTATAGTCTGTCCCTGATGGCTTTTCAATGTAAACACTGCATTTTCAGATAAAAGGCCGTATTTACATCGCTGCCTAGTAACACCTCTAGTGGCAGTCACTTAGACGGCCACAAACTGCTTCCTATCTCAGTGCTGCACAGTGTGCAATACCTACATTCAGGGTCTCCACACCCTACTTCGCAATTGGTCCTAGGGCTCCCCCAAAAGCGGAGAATATCGGTCAGCCTGGTGGATTGAGGGGGTACTTATGTATCTTAGGTATGCTATACATTACTGTGATCCTGGGATGCTTCTTCAATAAGTATTGGAATTTTTTAAAATCTATATACCCTGCTTCCAATCCCATGGAAAGGGTATCCTCTATTTTTTCATGATCATCCTGGTTGGATATCCACTTAAAGGTGTATCCAAATCCTGTAGTTTTTGTTCACTGGCATATTTTTCATACTGAATTATGGAAATATCCTACCTTTGTCTGCTGGACATATCACAATAGTGGGATCGTCAGCTAGATTTTTGATGATCCAACGTTGTTGTCCTGTTAAATTCTTTTGTGTGAATTATTTGTAGAATTTGGTTTATCAAAATATATATACAAGCATGATTGGGGTGCCCAAAAGGTAGATCCTCAAATGTTTTGGAACTACAACTTCCATGATGCTTTGCCATTCTAAAGACATGCAAGCATCATGGGAGTTGTTGTTTTACAACAATTGGGGATCTACCTTTTGGCCACCCCTGAGCTAGACAGTATATCCTCACACAACTGGAAGCTTCAACCCAACCCTCAAACAGCCTTCAGATGGACCAACCGCTCACAAGCAAAGGCTCCACAGACCGGAGTAGGTTGGGAGGCAGAGAAAGACTTTAGATGTATTGAGGAACATGGGTACTTAGTGGCTTACTGTTCTCCGTGGCTTGACACCACTAATACTGTTTAGCCTGGTCCCAGAATAACACTCCAGCAAGCAATCCTACTGGCCACAAAAGTCTCTACAACAGGGAGTTAGGCAGATGGCACAGGACAGCTCAAGGATGTAAAGGAGCAATGAGACTCTTGTGCTCAATCATCACCGGTATTCCAATCAGCCCCGCAGATCTCCAAATTAGCTAGCTGGCAACTGGCAATGCAGGACAATGCAGGCTGGAGTGCTCAATGGCTACAAGAGGTTTATTATGGGGAGTGATTATTTTACCTGGACATTTTGTAAGCATGTATCACTTTACTTTCATCGTCACAAATATTTGCAAATAAACATTAATAGAAATCTAGACATTTATCCAGAAAAATAATAACAATAATAATAATAATCCAAAGAGGGGCAATGAGCAACAGAGGGTTAATACTTTTCCAAAGTCCAATGAGTCTGACAGCTGAATCACATTTGAAATAAAGCATTTCAAAAGTGTTATCAGCATTCTCAGTCAAATTCTAATTAGCTGGCTCCACTGATGAAGACCACTGCCAACTGACACATCTGACTAAAAGCAGGTGAAGATGAAGGTTGCATACATCCAGCACAACAAGTGGTTAAACTGCAGAGTTATAAATTCAAGCTGTGAGTTAAAGGAAATACAGCACAATAATATTCAAACCATTTACAAATAAATGTGTAGTAACTAGGGGGAATAAAAGGAAACAGAATGAGCAGATGGCTTATATAACTCAACTGGCAACCCTAACAAAACCAAAATAATATGGGAAAAGTCCGGGAAAATTCTAGAAAAGAAAAAAAAAAGAAAAAGAATGAAATATATCCAACATTGGTTGCATTTAGGGAGTTGACATACATTTCAGATTCTTTATAGTCATCAAAGAACTCCTGACGCCCCCGATGGGAGATTAACAAGCTTACTGGATATAGTAAAGTGAACTTAATATGTTTGCCAAACAGACTACTGCAGAATGCAGCTAGACGTTCACTTATTTCTGTTTTGGGGCTGTGAAGATGGATAAAATGCTAAGCAATATCGAGGTCTGTGGAGGGGTTAAAACCTAGCTTTTTGTCTGTATCGGCGCTAGACACAATGTCAATCATTTTAGGGTAGCTACATGGACTATAGTATAGACATTTCAGCAACCTAAAAGTGATGGGAGCTTGAGTGAAGGGCTAATATATGTGTTTAAAACTTAAAAACTACAAAGCTGTATTCCTAACACTATAGTGTCCATCTGCCTCTTCAGATACCACTATGTGACAATGAAAGGATTAAAACCCTTTAAAACATTTTCCCGATTCCAGTGCAGAAGTGTCTTGGTGTTGGCTCTGTCTCGGCCTCCTCCAATGTCATCATTAGGGGGAGCTTAAGGCACATGCACAGCAAGCTCTGCTCGCTCATTGTGCCATCCCCATAGGAAAGCATTGTATCAAAGCTTACCTTCTGGGTTTTGAAAGACGCTGGACATCAGAGTTTGCAGGAATCTATGATCTGCAAACTTTCTTTGTCTTAGGGATGAGCATAACCACCTAGCAAAGCTAGTGGGTATGCGGCAGCCTCCCGGAGTCAAATGCCAGAGCTGAAAAGGCTTGCGCTGTGCATCTGCACAGCAACAGCCTTTCAGCCAATCAGGTAATCAGGAGAGCCGTGCTGAGCGCGGGAATCCTGATTACCTCAGATTTTTTAAAATTGGGAAACTGCGGATGGTTAGCACATCCCATGAAATATTAAGGATAAATATTTCCCACAGTGTACAGGAATATAATTAAACTTCTAAACACAAAATAAAATAATTCAAGATGCCAATAGTACAGGGGAACAAGAAAATATTTAATAAGTCATGGAGACATACAAGATAGACTTGAAACTTTGTATAAAACAGCTGAACTGAAAAACAAGGCAACAATGTGTGCCAAAGGAAAGTATCCAAAGACCACTGGAAACATTCAACGTAAGTTGCAACAAAATAAGTTCAATAAAGAGACAAGAAATGTTGAAACAAGTCCCAGCAGACATAATCTTTATGCAGGGAGTCCATGAGAATATTAAACCGACGAGACTACTTGCATCCAATCCTTCTACTTAGGTGGATCCTTGGTTTGTTGGTCTTGTCTTGGAGTACGGCTATAGTCTGTAAAAAACAAAACAGAGAACAGTTATCAAAAGGTTGAATAAGCACCAGATAACCTTATGTTTTAGAAAAACCAACTACCACCAGCAGGCAAAACCCTTAACTAGGAGGAGGGTGGGACGGGCGCTATTGCTAGGTGGTTATGCTCAACCCTAAGACAAAGAAAGTTTGCAGATCATAGATTCCTGCAAACTCTGATTTGTCCTCCGGGAGGCATAACCACCTAGCAAAGCTAGTGGGTAGAATAGCACACACCTGGTGGTGGTCCTAAGAAACTGAAGGCGTTCAACTTCTGATGGCCTCCAGTAAAATCTAACAAAGGTTTTACTGGACAACCATCTTGCAGCTTTTAAGATAGTAGCTAGAGGAAGGCCCTTTCCTGCTGCTTTAGTAGCCGAGGCTCCCCTAATTGAATGGCTTTTGAACACTGAAACATCAATTCCAGCCGTAGACATGGCGGAAAGTATCCAGCCTCTAATTGTATTAACCTTGGCTGGACGAAAGGGATTCCTTGATGTAATGAATAATTGACTGATATCGTTTCTAAATCCAGCAGAAAGTTGAAGGTACGATTGTAACAAACTGACTAAACATAAGCCTGGTTCGGAAGAATCTTGGACCAAGTCCAATTCTACCGGACCAGGAGAAAAATGGGATGTTTTTTGTCTGCCTTTTAGTATGATATGGAAACCTCCCGGGGTCCTGGACAACCAAGGTTCTGAAATATGGATCTGAGTTAACTCTGCTCCTCTAGCTGCCAGGGCCAAGGACAGCAGAGAAGCCAGCTTAATAGCAGTCCATCTTAAATCAATTTTAGCATTATCCAAAGACTTTAGGAAATTTAATAAGACATCTACATCCCAAGTAGATGTGTAGCGTGGGGTATATGGGCGGCAGACGGCTAACCCTTTTAGTAATCTCAAATACAGGGCATCCTGAGTAAGGTTGGGGATCAGGAAGTTTAAGGCAGATCCGTAGGTCTTGATTGAACTGACAGATAAACCAGAATGGAACTTAAGGGTAAGAAATTCTAACGCCAAAGGAATGGTATCAGATCCTTGTGTGTTAGACAGAAAAGAAACCTCCCATTCTTTGAATTCCTCGATCATCTTTCTATATCTTACCCTAGTTCTACGTCTTAAAGATGAGTTAATAATATCCAAGACCTGGTCCGATAAGTGGGGATGTGTTAACAGCCTACCAGGGCTGCGATCCACATCAGCTGCGGGAGCTTGAGCAGAAGATCGCTGGTTCCCTGAAAGCAGTCCACTGTCATGCCTAATGGGATCTTGGTTCCCTTGACTAACTGATGGATCAAGGGATACCAGGGTCTGGAGGTCCATACTGGGTAAACGAGAACTAAGCTCTGCACCCTGTCCCTGCGGATCTTCTCCAGCACTTTCATCAGTAAAGATGGAGGGGGGAAAGCATAAGGGGCTGGAACATCCGTCCATTGGAAAGACATTGCATCCATTTTCCAAGCTCCCTTTGTCCAGGTCCGGGAGACGAACCTGGGAGTTTGAGCGGATGTTTGGGATGCAAACAGATCTACCTGTCTCTGGCCAAAATTGCTTTCTATCTTTTGGAAAAGAGCAATCTTTAATTGGATCGTTGCCAGGGACAAACTTTGGCGAGAGAGAGAGTCTGCAAGCTCGTTCGCCTCTCCCGGAACATATTCTGCGAAAACCTGAACATTGCTTGCTAAGGCCCAGGACCAAAGATCTAGAGCCTCTAAGCAAAGACCCCTTGATCTTGTACCCCCTCTGTGGTTTATATAAGCCACCGCTGTCCTGTTGTCCGAATGGACTTTTACCAATGTCGGTGACTCGTTTAGAGGAACTAGGCCCTTGAGAGCTAATTTTATAGCTCGTAACTCCAAGATGTTTATATGGAGGTGACTCTCTTGGTCTGACCAGATTCCTCTTATGGCGTTTTGGGTTGTAAACGCACCCCAACCGTGACTTGAGGCATCTGACGTCAGAGTGACTGTCGCAGGCTGCTCTAACAGTGGACGAGGAAATGGAATTTCTAACTCCAGAATGGACTTCAATTCTTCTCTGACCATCTTGGGGAGAACAAATTTTGATTCCCAATGGCCACCCTGTCTCAGTCGGTTCCCTAAAAACAGCTGACTTGCAAAGTAAGGGGGAATTGTTGTATGCTGGTGTTAAAGCTATTAATTTCCCTATGATCTTTGCTAGGTCTCTCAAGGACCAACTCTGGTGCTTGAGAGATGAGTTCAGATGTACCAATAATTTGTCCCATTTGTCTTGAGGGATTCCAAGGGACATAGTCCTGGTGTTCAGTATGAAACCCAGAAAGAGGATGCTTTGAGTGGGAATTAGGACTGATTTCTGTAGATTTACTACGAATCCTAGGTCTTGTAAAAGGGAAGCAAGGTAATCCCTTTGAGAAGCAAGGGCTTCCCCATCTGGGTGCATGAGCAGGATGTCGTCTAGGTAGTATAGACACATGAAACCTTTTAGTCTGACATGAGCTATCACTGATTTCATAATTCTGGAGAATGTGTATGGTGCGTTGGAGAGGCCAAACACCATAACAGTCCACTGCCACACCTTTCCTTTCCACTGAAACCTGAGAAAACGCCTGTGTTTCTTGGCTATGGGGACTGAATGGAAGGCATCTTTTAGGTCTACTTTTATGCAGAAAAAGGCTTTCTGAACTAAGCCTGGAAGATCTGATAGACTCTCCATCCTGAACCTTTTCCTTTTGATGAAAGCGTTCAGAGGCCTCACATTTAGGACCGGTCTCCAGGAACCGTCTGACTTTGGGATTGGGAACAATGGGCTGACCCATCCTGTAATAGACATGTCTGCCAACTCTATTTTTCCTTGACTTAAAGCTAAGGAAAGGGAGGCATCTAGCACTGGGTTCACCTCTCTGTGGGGTGCAAATTTCTGGACTGGGAACCTTAACAGGGGGAGTTGTAAACCCCTTTGAAAGATCTTTAGAACCCATTTGTCTGAGGAAATATCCTTCCAATTTAGTGGCATATGAGGAGGCACACTTACTTGAATGCATGGGTTTCCTTTTGGAAGCTGAACCGCCTCTGGAATGCGCTCCTCTGCCGCCGCCTGGGAGCTTATGTCTTCCACTGTAGTGGCGGTACTGGGCCTGGTGAGAGGCTTCTCGGGACGCTCCTGCAGCCCTATAGGGGCGACCCTCCGTCCGAAAGGGCTTCTTGTAGCCAGGGACGGACTTCTTGAGTTCTGAAAAGGATCTCCTTGCCTTGTAACGGCCTTTAACCTCCTGAATGAACGAGGGACCGAATAGGTAAGAATCCTCCAAATTTGGGAACTCATGCGATTTGGGGGCTAGGTCGGACAGACCAGCTGCATGGAGCCAGCGGGATCTGCGGATGTTTGAAATGTAATTAAAGGATTGGCCAATAATTAGCACTGCCCTGCCAGACGCTTTTAAAAGGGCCATCTTAGATGCTAACAGGGATGAAGTGGAAGGTTTCTGAGCATTGCCTTCTTTTTCTGCTTTATCCAGCATCAGTAATAGTGGTCCCACAGCATCAGCAATTTTAAACTGTATATTGCGAAAAGTCTGGTCTGTGGGATCAGAGGATACGCTGCTCCCTGTGATGGATAACAGCGAAGGGTCTACCTCTGGGGCCATTAGAGCCTGAATGTCCGGGATACCGATGTGGTTCCTGAGGAGAAGGTCATCTTCCTTAACCAAGGGGGATCTGAAGGCTAGTTTAGCAAAATCTCTAACCTCAGAATCGTGCTCCATAGCCCATCTGGAGTGAAATAATTTTGATGGGAGAGTCTTTCCTAGGAGACTTACTCTGGCCATCTGAACATTGCTTAGCTTCCCTCGCTCAGTGGAAGCTGCTGAACGAACCACTTCCTCGGATTCCCAGTCTATTTCTGGAGAGCCGTATCTGGAACTGGGACGGCTTTGGGAAGAAGAGTGAGCGAACGCTCTAGAAGAGGAAGGAGAGGGACTATCTAACCTCCAGCGAGATTTGCCCTTTTCCTCTGGGAGGTGTTTCTGGTGCTCAAACGAGGGAAACACGCTATTCCTTTTTTGAGGTCCTGTCCCCTTAAATTTTCGCTTACTCAAACGAGTATGAGGGGAAGGAGGAGCGGAGAAGTTTTCCTCAGACGAGGAACTGGCGGAAGAGACCAGCCGTCTTCCTTTATGCTTTTTATTTAAAACTGGGACCAAATCCTCCTCAGATGATGAAGAGGATAGATCCCTGGCAAGGAAAGCTCTCTTATGGAGCTTTCTAACATTGATGGGGCTGCCTTTAAGAGAGGCATCCACTAAATCTGTGGCAGACACAGAAATAGAGTCCTCCATCAATGATGCCATTTTAAAAAATCTGAGGTAATCAGGATTCCCGCGCTCAGCATGGCTCTCCTGATTACCTGATTGGCTGAAAGGCTGTTGCTGTGCAGATGCACAGCGCGAGCCTTTTCAGCTCTGGCATTTGACTCCGGGAGGCTGCCGCATACCCACTAGCTTTGCTAGGTGGTTATGCCTCCCGGAGGACAAATACTTATGCAAAGCGTTAGAATGCCCAGCGTTGTTTCACATACAGCAGGAAGCGTCTCTGTTGGCTGCCTGGTTTCTCTAAAACTGCAATCTTTTCACTTGCATGCTTAAGGGTACAGGGACACTGCAATGAGATGAAGTTGTCTCGTTTCCTATAGTGCCCTTTTTAGTCATTTCACAACCTTTTCATTGTGCGGCCACTCAGGGCTGGATTTCCCATTAGAGTAGGCAGCTACCTACAGGCACCAGGAAGCAGCTATAGTGGCCGTCTGAGTGACTGCCACTAGAGGTGTAGCTAGCCAGCAATGTAAAAAAACTGCCTTTTCAGAGAAAAAGCCTGAAATGACAGGCTATATACATCAGAACAACTACATTAAGCTGTAGTTCTTCTGTGGACTACAGGTGCCTTTAACTGTAGCTCAATCATGAAGCACACATATGTTGGATCTTGCAGTGTATCCTATTCAAAAGGAAAATTGTCTGGGTTTTTCAGGACCATGCAGATACAGTTGGATTGATGCCATGAGATAGGGCATAGCAGCATACTCTTAAAGACACAGAATTCTGAGAATAACAAACCTCCACAGAACTAGCTATGGTATTTTTCACTGTCTATCCACTACCTGACAAGGACGTCCATATTTTAGAGCAGTGTCTATGCAATGTGACTGGATGTCATACTGCAACAAAGGATGCCTTACTGCCAGCAATTGACAGAGAATTCTAACAAGAGAAGAAAAACATTGAAAAGGCTAGGAAGCTTCAGAAGGAAAAGAACTTAGGACTAAGACTATTCATTAGGGATAAAACCCACACAAATAAATATATATATATATATATATATATATATATATATATATATCAAATACACAGGGGCGTACCTAGAGCATTTGGCACCCGGGGCGGATCCTCTGCTTGGCACCCCCCTCCCCCCCCACACCCAAAAAAAACCAAAAAAACAAAAACCTGTAAAAATTTTTAAAGGTTTTCTTTTTTTTTACAATTTGTAAACTTTGCAAAACCGCTGTCAGCCCCTCCTACAAAACCCTTGACCTGCCCCGCCCCTCCTACAAAACCTCTGTCCTGCCCCTTCTACAAATCCTGTACTGCCCCGTCTACAAAACCCCCGCAACCCCCTTCCACAAATCCCCTGCTTATCCCCCTTATAAAGACTCCTGTCCCAATACAAAACCCCCGCCCCCTTCTACAAAATCCCTGCAGCCCCACACACACATTTACAGGCAGACAGTCACACACTCAGTCACACACAGTCACAGGCAGACAGTCACACATACACATTTCCTCCGTGCAGCCTGTTTATCAGCTGTTTGCTTTTGTGAGCTGTGGCCGCACGGCACCCTAACTACCATGGGACACTGTGCGGCCACAGCTCACATAGCCCCCTCCAGCCAGGGCCGGTGCAAGGATTTTTGCCACCCTAGGCAAAAGTAAAGTTTGCCGCCCCCCCCCATGTGACATCACAATGCCCCACCCATATGATATGCCATGTTAACTAACACCAGTGCTGCAGTGCCGCCGTGTTTACATTAAAAGGCCTGCAGGGACAGGCTATAGACACCAGAACCACTACATTAAGCTGAAGTGGTTCTGGGGACTATAGTGTTTCTTTAATGTGAGGTAAATTAGAGCTTAGTGCCACGAATAATATACTAGATTGCCTACTTACAACCAGATGAGGATGATGATGGGCTCTAGCTGCAGTCTGGCTCCACTGGTCTGGTGCAGAACAGGCTCTCTGGAGGCGGTTTGTAACTGTGGTCACAAAAATCAATGTTCTGGGAGAACGGGAAGCAGCTCCATTTTTTGGGGGTCCTTTACACAGCTCAAGGTCTGGGTCCCAGGGTCCACCTTCATGTTCCACCAATGAGTTTATTCACAGGGGGTGGAGTGTATAAGGGATGTCCTGATATGTGTGTAAGGAATGCATTGTGTGAAATTGTGTTTAAGGGCTGCAAGGTGTGTTTCTGTGTATGTATGGGATACATTGAATGTGTGTAAGGGGTGCATTGTGTGTAACGGTTGCATTGCTTGTGTATGTGTGTCTGTGTGTGTAATGCATTGTGTGTTTTTCTGTGTGCAAGGGGTGCATTGTGTGTATGTGATGAATGTCAATCTCTCCTCCCGCTCCAATTTCCTTCTCCTCCTCCCAATTTCTCTTTCTCACCCCCCTCCTAATTTCTCTCCCCCTAATTTCTCTTTCCCCCCTCCTAATATCTCTCCCTCCCTCCTAATATCTCTCCCTCCCTCCTAATTTCTCTTCCC